ACCACCTCCTCGCATGACAGCGGAGGAGGAGGCCCGTCTCATGGATGGCTCCATGCAGACGCACGACTAGCGCCAATGGGAGGGCCTCGAGGAGATGACGACCCTCTCCGCGGCCGGCGACGTCACCATCCCCGAGCTGGAGATGGTGGCGAAGGAGGAGGTGATGGAGGAGCCGCCGGTGGCCGCATTCCACCCGGGCATGGTGGGCCAGGGGTGGAGCTGGTCATGCACGGTAGAGCAGATGGTGGCTGCCGTGGGGGGCGCGAACTGGTGCCCCACGCCGCAGCGGTCACCGGAGCGGGACGCCTCGCCATGGGAGGAGGTGGTGCAGGCACCTGCCACCTTCCAGCCCGTCGTTCCCGTACACCACGGACCGCCGGCCCACCTCTGGACGCCGCCGGACTACGTCGATCTTGTCAGCGACGACCACGACACCGGCGACGGCCACGGCATCGACCGGCATGACAAAAGCGCGCGGGCGGCTTTTTTTTCATTTTTATGTTAATTATGCTACTGTGCCGTTAAGTGAACTGTGGAACGGGCCGTTTTGTGGCCATGACCTCTTAAATTATGTTTTAAGTTTTTTTAGCTGTGTTTATTTACTTTTTGAAGTCACTCTATTTTAGTTTTTCTGTTTTTTATCACGTCCAACACAAACATGATTTGAGGTGCGGCCGCGCGTTGGGTGTACCCACAACCCAACGAACAGAGGCAGACATTAACAAACCTATTGCCGTTTCAAAAGGACAAAATTCAGCTAGACCGAACGTCCGTTTGAAGTCGTGGAGTTGGCCTGAGCCCTTCCGTATCCAGCGTTATCCTTTTCTTTTGAGGAGTATCCAGCGTTGTCCTTAGATCAAAAAGTTGTCTCTTTTGTCCTCTTTGTTACTTTCGCACCAATCAATCAGCTGGACCGTACATATGCAAAACAGTGAAACCACCGCACTCCGTCAACGGAATCATAATGCTCTTCTGTCGGCTAGCTGAAAACAACCATAAATAAACTCGATCGATCAGCCTGCACTGTTTGGGGTTGACGCGCGTAACAAAAAATCACCTCATGGTTGGGCAAGGAGCCGATCGATCGATCGGGTTTGTTCGTTAGGTGAGATGCTAAGCTAGGGCGTTAATTAGGAGTGGCGTGTCGTGACACCAAGCTAAATGAAACAGTCTCCACACATCGATATCTACTACTAGCACCGCTAAACAAACTTAAGTACTTTCTCCGTTTCGAATTACTTGTCGCACGTATGAATGTATTTAGATGTATTTTTATTCTAGATACGTCTATTTCAACGACGGGTAATTTTAAACGAAAGTAGTAGGACAAAACAACGACTTTATTACCAAACAAAACAAACTTTCAATTCGATTGGAGATGAATCTTCTTCCGGTGGAAGCCTAAGAAAAAGCGGGCAGAGTTCCTCACGGCATGCATACATGCAAAAGCTATTCCTGCAAAGCCCTAGATAGATTTCAAGATATCCACGCGTCACCATGATCGATCTGACGATGACACCAACGGCGCACCGCGGACAAGGAAGACAACCGGAACTCCAAGCAGGTCGTCTCTCTGTACAAGTCAGAGCCAGAGCGCACATGTTTAGTGTATGTCAAAAGCGGGCTAATGTAGAAAGAACTAGCATGGAAATGAACGTACCAATAAAAGTCCCTTTCAACTCAAAAAAGAATGTCCCTTCAGTGGTTGTAGCTTTGCTTTACACAGAGATTAGTTGCTTTCCGGCGGCGAAAATCGTACTCGCCCGGCGTACCATGCCCGCGATGGGAGGACGTGAGGATCATGCAAGGGTCAGTTCCAGGCGCCGTTCTCACCTCTCGCCCATCCATAGTGGGTTGCGTACCGCGGCAAACGTCTGGCTCGATTTGCGATCGCGATGGGAGGACACACGGAGTATGTACACAACGCCAGCACAAAGGAGCGTCTGGGTCAGATGTTTTTTTTGAACATGTTGCATGGTAGATGATCCGTATGCGTAGATCTCATCCAACAGATGTTTTTGTTAAGGAATCACCATTGGGAAAGTTCTCTCACCTGAATATATTACTCAAAAATGGCCAAAGCCAAGAGTCGCCTCTTAATGGATCAAGCTAACGGCTACAACAATTTTCATCATGTGAAAACACATATGTTAAAATGACCAGTGTTTTTTTTAAATCCGCGGGGAAAGTTTCTGCCAGGCGTAAATATCAAAACGGGAAGAAGAAAGAATAACGCCTGAACGAATAAAACATAGGTGGGTGGTTCTCAAAAAGTGGAGGATCCTATTTAGAGCATAGGCCGGGGAGTAGCAACGTAACGCATAACCTTGACGCGGGCGTGCTGCTTTCATTCAGAATAACCATCATCACATTTACCAGAATCTTCAAAAGTAAGCTCAACTTGATGCCCTGGCACAACGAGCTGAACTTGGTCAAAAGAACAAGATCCGTAACATAAAAAAGGCCCCTTCACATTTTTTTTGAAATTCAGACATTTTTTGAATTTCATGTCCATTTTGGAAATTTGATACATTTTTTGAAATCCAGGAATGATTAACAAATTCATGAAGATTTTTAGAATTCATGATCTTGTTTGAAATTTGATTTTTTAGAAATCCCGAACACTTTTTCGAATTTGGGGTTCATGAATATTTTTGAAGTTTAAAAAAGGAAAAAAAGAAAAAAAGCTGGGGCGCCCGGCCCCGCACTTGGGCCGGCTCAAAGTGCGAGCGGGAGGGAGGTTTGGGTACACGTTTGATCGTTGCGCGCCGCGTACAACGGGAATAGGTCTCTCCAAAAGTTTGCACTGGCGCGCCCGCGCTGGTTCTCTCTCAATTTCGTTTCCGCAAGCCCAAACAAATAGCAGTTCCTTTTTAACCTGGCTGTAGAGACACTCTTGAAAATGGTTCTTAATGCACAAAAAGAGAAAATGCTGACGGGCTTAGCACCTGACTTGATTGAGGGGGGGTGTGGCTATCCTGCAATATGCAGATGACACTGTAATATGTTTTGAACATGATAAGGAAGCGGCTGTGAATCTGAAGCTTCTATTGTACCTGTTTGAACTTATGTCAGGACTGAAGATCAATTTTATGAAAAGCGAAATCCTCTGTGTCGGTGGAGATGATAGTACCCTTTCCTTTTATGCTGATCTCTTTAATTGTAGTATTGGACATTTTCCAATGAAATACTTGGGAGTCCCAGTCAGTTTCTCTTCTTTGCGTAGCATAGACTGGGATTTTATGGATGAGAGGTTCCTTAAATGCTGTGAATCCTGGATTGGTAATGCAGCATCTTCGGGTGGGAGGCTCATCCTTCTCAATTCCTCATTAACTATCATTGTCTTTTACTACATGTCTATGTTCCTTCTTCCTAAAGGGGTGATTGAGAAACTGGATAAACACCGTAAGCGGTTCTTTTGGCAAGAACATGAGGGGTGTAAACGATACCATCTAGTGAGATGGAATAGAATTTGTAGATCCAAAAAGAAAGGGGGACTGGGAGTCAAGGATCTTCATAAACAGAATTTAAGCCTCCTCACCAAGTGGTGGTGGAAGCTGGAAACTAAACAAGGGCTATGGCAGGATGTGATCCGGGCCAAGTACTTTAAGCAAGACACGGTGACCTCTGTCAAAACTAAATTCAATGACTCGCCAATCTGGAAAGCAATCATGAAAACTAAAGATTACTACCTGGCTGGCAGAAAAGTGAATTTACAATCTGGAGATCTTGCTAGACTGTGGGTTGATCCAGTTGGCAATGAACCTCCCCTCCAGTTGCAGTTTCCTATGATTTATGATATTTGCAATGATCAGGATATCACGGTTGCTAAGTTCAGGGAAGGGGGGAGGAAAAAAACTTTTTTAGAAGGCAACTCCATCCTCCCATGCTTGAGCAATGGAGTAATATCAAATCTATAGTGGGGACTTGGCCGATGACTGGCGAAGCCGACCAAGTGGTCTGGACCTTGGGGAAGAAAAGTAGGTTTACTACGAAATCTGTTTATGAATATTTGGAAAGAAATGTGGCGGGGGCAAACTACAAGTGGATGTGGAAAGCAAAAATCCCCCTTAAAATTCAAATTTTCCTTTGGCAACTGTTTCAGGATGCTATCCTAACTAGAGATGTGATGAGTAGACGAAAGTGGCTGGGAAATCCTGCCTGCTCCTTCTGTGCGGAGAGAGAAACATCCCAGCATCTCTTCTTCACTTGCCCTGTGGCCAAAGTCCTCTGGAGGATTGTAGGCTGTGTACGGGGTACGGATCTGTGTCCAAGTAACATTTGGCAGTACTATTCATGGGCTTACATGTTTTTACCTGATGGGGAGAAATTTTATACCTTTGGTCTAGCAGGTTTCTGTTGGGCGATGTGGATTAATCGTAACAGTGTTACCTTTGAGTCTAAACAGATGAGGTCGCCTTTTGATGTGGTTTACTCTGCATGTGGTTTTCTTAACTACTGGGCAGGTTTGATGACAGGAGATGATCGAGAGATGATGGAGCGCGGAGCCAAGATGCTGAGGACCAATGCATCGAACATGATGCGGATCTGTGCAGCGCCGAGGGGAACCTCAAACTGAGAGCTGAAGCGTTTGCTGCTGATAGATAGTTCGTTTGCTCCTGCGTGAGTGCTTAACTATATCTGGAAAAATAGTCCTTTCGCCCCTGCGTGGGCTCATGATTTATGTCTGGAGTAACCCTCCTAAAACTTGTTGAAATTCTCCTGGTTAGAGTTAGTCGGCTGGTTTTAGGGTGTCGTTGGATTTTCGCCCCATGGTGAGCTGCTCGATGACGAGTGCTCATTGTGGGTTTTCCAGCGGTGCTTTGAGCTCGCTTCCCTTTTCTAGATCTCCTTTTGAACTCTTAAAACTATTTGTATTTTTGTTATGCTAAGTAATGGAAAGGGGTTATGCCCGGCTCAAAAAAAAAACAAATAGCAGTTCATCAAAAGTAAAACCGAAAAATAGCCCCAAACTACTAGGTCTCCGCTAACCTTCCCCCATGGCTCGCAAGCGCCGCCGCGCGGAGCAGCGCACGCCGGCGCCACTTCCGCCTCCGCCCCTTCGGACTAAACCGTCTCAGCGGCAACCGGTGGTCGTCTTCGCCCACGGCGCCGGCGCCCCCTCCTCCTCTGATTGGATGACCCGGTGAGCTCCCTTTCTCCGTCTGTTCTGCAGCACGCGATTCATGGATCTGTTGTGGCCAGTATGCTTCTCTTTGGTAGAATGCCCCATTTGCGTGAGAAACTCCACCTTCATAAAATCAGTCCAACTGAGGATTCCAGTTTGTATACACATCTGATCTGTGCTTGGTATCTGCATATTTATGTTTAATAACTGACAAGACAATTGATTCTTCCAGCTGGAAGGAGATGGTGAAAGATGCCCTGGATGCCGTTGAAGTGGTGACATTCGACTATCCATGTGAGTTTGTTCGATTCACTCTTCTGCTAATCATTCCATTTTTACCCGAAGGTCCAGTTCTTAATTCTTGACCCATGTTCACTTGATGGTTGACGAATTAATCAAGCAACAACACCGCAGATATGTCAGGTGCTAAACGGAGGCCTCCCCCAAAGGCGGACAAGCTCGTCGACCACCATCTCAGTGTGGTGAAGGATGCTGTAGCAGAGCATCCTGGTCACCCGCTTGTTCTTATGGGGAAGTCTATGGGTTCGAGGTAACATTTGGTGATGTGATAATGTTGTTGCTTGTGCATCTTTTTGGTGTTGTGTTATATGATCTGACTTCTGAGGACACTTATGTGATGCTTAAACATTCTCAGGGTCAGCTGCATGGTAGCCAGCTCCGATGATATCAGTGTTTCTGCAGTCATTTGCTTGGGTTATCCACTCAAGGTATCCCCACTTTACTGTGTGTACTTAGATTTGGGTTGCTTCTTGGACTGTCTCCTTGTTGAATTGTTGTGCCTGTGTTATTCAAAGTTCAACTATAACACACACCGAAATGGATTAGGATCTCCATCAGAATTTAATTGTTGCAGAATTCAACCATTTATGCACCTATATGGTTGTTGTATACAGATCTGCATGCTATTGTTTCTCATTTTTTGCTACAACTATGCAGTGACTTCTTTATATGATAATTCACTGTCATTTTGTATACAGACAATTCACTTTCTCAGATAGAATCACAAACTAAAGAAGCTGTTCCTTTTGTTTTGCATCTTTGCTTTCTTCGACAGGGAGTGAAAGGGGCACCGAGAGACGAGATACTACTGAAGCTGATGGTTCCAACAATGTTTGTGCAGGTACTTTCTTTGTTTTCTGATAAATATGCGCAGTGAAAATTTTAGGGATTGTTTGGAAAGCATCATCTGATAGGAAATTTATGGCAAACAGTTCAATTCAGACAAGAATATGAAAAATTTCGTGTTCCAAACAGGGTGTAAATAGTAAATTTTAGAATCTTGACTTGCGGTGGGTGTGTTCACAGGGCAACAAAGATGGCCTATGCCCCTTGGACAAGCTTGAGTTAACTCGGAAGAAGATGACCTGCAAGAATGAACTGCATGTTGTTGATGGTGGTGACCACTCTTTCAAAGTCAGCCAAAAATACCAAAAATCGGCTGGAATAAGTCAACATGATGCTGAATTAGAAGCTGTTAAAGCAATTGCACAGTTCGTCCAGAACTCCATCGCAGAAAGCTTAACCTAGCTGTTCCTTCGAAATTTTCTTATAACATCTAATGGTAGGTTCCTGATCCTAAGATTCTGGCCTTTTCTAGGGGAAAGATTCTGGCTTTTCAATGGTCTAATATGTGATCATGTACTTGGTTTGGTGACTGGTTACATGTAAAACAATGCTATTGTCCCCCCTGAAATGTAATATGCTTGTAATTATTTGTGTTGTTTTTATCATGGAACACCCTTTTGCCTTGCACCGTGCCTTTTCATGATTGAGAAAAACTGCATCGAATATTCATACATAAACTTGCTCTTGCTGCTTATCTATGAATATATCAGTGGCAAGTTTCCTCTATGAATCGTAACTAGAATCTGATAACCACCTCAATTTTTTTTCTTAGAAAGGATCAGTACAATGGTTACAGTATCACATCCCTTGCTGTATTTGCAAAAGGAGTAACAGACGTGCCAGTACCATGCAGATTGCTTAATTCCTCTTATCGAAATTATCACAAGCGCAGTACCATGCATCTTGCTTAATTCCTCTGTCCTGGCAATTAGGACCGTCTTTCGATGTATTTTGACAAAATCATCCTTTACTGTGGCTTTCCGTTGCATCATCAGCTGGATCGAGCAGCAGCAACTACTGTTCAAGAATGTACAAAATTAAATGAAGTAACAATACAGCATAAATTAGGCAGCACAGAATGAAGTTACGATACAGCATAAATAAATTAGATGAAGCACTACTGACATTACCGGCAATGAACACATGCAGGCTGAATCCTCACCATACTATCGGATATGTAGCATCGATCCTAGCAGTTCGTCGAGATCGAAATCATCCATGCCCAAACAAGCAAACTGAAGAACAGAAACATGAAACGAAATTTCAGTACAAATAACAAAAGATGAGATCAGTTTTTTTGATAGTAAAGAAAGGGCGATCAGTGCTCCTCCCCATATTTCACCCACCTTAGACATGAACTGATCGAGGTCGAAGGGGTCGTCGCTCTGCTCCGGCTCGTCGAAGTCGAACTCCACCGGCCTCTCCCTCTTGCCGGCCGCTGCCCGTACAGGTGCTCCTCCTGAGGACCCCTCGTCCGGTTTGTTCCGTATCAGGAAGGCCTCCTTCTCCGCGGCGTCCAGCGCCTCGGCGAGCCTGCCGAAGTTGCGGACTATCTGATCGTCCAGCGTCCCCACGCCAGCCGACGACGCCGGTTGCCGCTTGCTGGGGTTCTTCCGGTTGTCAACGCAGGGCGGGGCCTTCCAGTCGTCTTGGTCCCTCCGTGGGAGCGGCCGAGGCGGCGAGCTCCGCACCGGCCGCGACCGGGATGGGCGAGGCAGCGGCCGGCTGAACCTGCGCTTGTGCTGCGCCAGTGGGTCGAACGGCATCTCCGCCGGCCCTGAGTTGAACGCCGTGGACTGCCGTGCTGGATCGTACTTGACGAAGGTCGCGCGGACACGCTTGCGCGGGTGGATGCCGTGCAGCATGGCATAGAAGCGGCGGACGTGGAGCATCAACTCCTCCATGTCGGCTTTCGTCAGGGTGGTAATGGCCTCCTCGACGGCGATGGCGTCGGCCTCGGCGTCGCCGGGGAAGGAGCACGGGGATGCGGATTCCATGGTGAAACTGGGGCTTTGGCAGTTCGGGATCACCGGACGCCGAGATATATCAGAGGGAACGAGCCGGCTCGACTTCGTTACAAAAACGGCAATCCACGAGGCCTACACTTGTTCGGATCACTCTAACTTCAATCCAAGCCAAACTCCGATTCGGGGATGAACACTCGACTCATTGGAGGAGAGCTCCTAATGGGCGAAGACTACTTCTTTTTAGTAACTGTAGAATAATTGTTTGGTGCAAGACGATGGTATCCACCTCATCATGGGTGTTCATATATAACATGTCCAGGGGTATGTTCGTCTTTGTCCACGACTAGAATCCTAATTATAATTATAGAGTACATACTTGAGCTACAGAGGGATAACTATACGAATCACCTATATGTACACACGAAATGAATACAATCATCTGTCAACACCCCCTCCGTATTCAAAGCGTCGTGTCTTGCGAAGATTGGACCGGAACTCCTCAAAAGTGGATGCCGGCAAGCCTTTAATCATGATGTCGACGAACTGCTGCGTTGTGGGAACATAAAGAACTCAAATCTTCCCAAGAGCAACCTGTTCGTGATGTGGCACGCTCAATACCAATCACACTTGGTACACCTAGTACATCGACTATGCTGAGTCGTTGATAAGTATGGAGCATCAACGACGAAGCCTTAAGGAAGATACCAAATATGGAGCACTTCCTCCTAACGAAGTTGCACCAGAGATTTCTGTTCCCCGGCCAGGATGCTATGAAAGCACCGTGGCTAGACAAAGGCATGAAGAAGATAAACAACAGAGCCATGGGCAAGTTTTGCAATGCCCCTGGAAAGTAAGGGTGAAATGAGCGATCGCCAAAAAAGAACCCTGCTTCGATATTGTTAAGTTAAATACGACAATTAGGGAAGAGCAATTCGAAATATCGAAGGCGACTTGCACTGCCGAACCTGCCAAGGAAAAGTCGGAGTACATGAAGGGGCTTCAGGAAAGGAACACATAGAACCACCGCCTCGGAAGCCATAGTTACTTGGGCAAGAGGCACATATGGGCCAAGGAGGATGCGTAACGTGAAAGTCTGGGGCTCCCAGACCCCTTGGTGGAGTTCACCGTCCCGCAGGAGCATGACTTCATCATGGCCCGGAACACTTGGGACCCGATAAATAAGGTTTTCGAAACAGACACGCCCTCGAGGGAGTTCATGAGACTACTGGTAATTATTATTTTACCACCTTATTTTAGCTTCTAATCAATTCGACTACAATTTAGTCACATTTGTAAACGATCCACATTCCTTCTGCAGAAAGAGCAAGATAGGCTTGCAGACGGAAGCGATTCGTTCTCTTAGTCGTCGGCGAGACCCAAGTGGGACACCCCTTTCAACCGGGCCTTGAACATAATGAAAGGACTCCTGGTGGACAAGCGGCCATCGTGTGGATGTGTGCACGCTGTCGGAGGTGGCGCCACGTGGAAGTACTACTACCATGAGGGCGCGTAGGGGAGAAGGCATAGATGGAAGTTAAATGAAGTGAACATCGACGAGAAGGTTGCAATTGCGGTCGAGAAGAAAGTAGTTGAGACCAAAGAAGCGATACGACCTGAGTTGGTCCGTGAGGCAGTCAATGCAGCATTAGCTGCATGCAGAAATGAATTTGTAGCTTCGGTTAATAGCTTGATTCTGGCTGGTATCGAATGGACGAAGCAAAGTCCAGATGAAATGGTAGCGGACTTTCCCCTTGCGAGCTACGTTGGAATAAGTCAGAGAACATCACAGCAGTACCTGCTCACGCAACCACACCTGCTCATCCACAGTTGCTTCAGCTCGCATCTTTGTGTTGCTGCTACTAAGGATAGAACGATGGAGTTTATTCATATTAATTGAGTTTACTTTGTCTACATCATGTCATTGTTCTCCAAGCATTACTCTATTTTTACTTAATACGTAGGGAGGCAAGCATAGAAGTGCTCTTGAAGTGGAGTAATAGTAATAGGTGCAGGCAAGCATAGAAGTGCTCTTGAAGTGGAGTAATAGTAATAGGTGCAAGCATAGAGTCAGCCTATTTGCTTATGGATGTGATGCCTATATACACATGATCATTGTTGTGAAAATCGCATAATTATTCGATATTCTATTAATTGCCCAATAGTAATTTGTTTACCCACCATATACCTTGCCATGGGAGATGCCACTAGGGAACACTACGGCCCCATGTCTATTCACTCATATATTTACAAACGCTACTACTACCTTGTTGCCATTATTTGTATTTTATTTTATTTTGCAATTTACAATTATCAACAATTATGTACACACCTTATTTGCTTGTAAATAAAGAGATCAAGGGGATTGACAACCCTCTTGCCCGCGTTGGGTGCAAGTTGTTTGTTTCTTTGTGTGCACTTGGTGAAGACGGTTGATGATTGGTATTCCTATTGGCTCGATAAACCTTGGTTTCATAACTGAGGGAAATGCTTACCCGCATTGTGCTGCGATAACCCGTTCCTCTTCACGAAAAACCCAACGCAGATCACAGTCATCATACTCCCAGTGGGGTATGTTTTTGTCCATTACGTGACGTGTTACTCCCAATGGTATGTCACTGTCCGTTAGGTGACTGTTACTCCCAATGGTATGTTACTGTCCATTAGGTGACTGTTACTCCCAATGGTATGTTATTGTCCATTACGTGACATGTTACTCCCAATGGTATGTCATTGTCCATTAAGTACATGTTAGTACCAATGGTATGTTACTCTCCATTATGTACATGTTACTCCCAATGGTATGTTACTGTTACTACCAGCGGCAGTGGAAAGCTGAAGAGGACGGAGTGAGTATTCCTCCGGTGTAGCGGTGCGAGTGTGAGGCATCCATTTGCCCGGGCAGAGAGCCGTGCGACTGTGTGAGCCAATGGCATTGCCCGAGAGTAATTATTACGCATCAGTTCCGTACGTAAAACTTTGACTCAGGAACGAAGCTTGTCTCACACAATAGGGCAACATCTTGTTGCATTGGGTGGTGAGCATCTTCAATAGATGATGTAGATGTATAAATAAAACCTTTTTATAGTTTTAACGCAGAAAACGCTGCTCCAATAGATGATGTAGATGTATAAATAACACATTTTTAGAGTTTCAAGGTAGAAAACGCTGCTCCAATAGATGAAGTAGATGTATAAATAACACCTTTTACGGTTTCAAGGCAGGAAACGCTGCTCCAATAGACGATGTACATGTATAAATAACAGTTTTCTTATAGTTTCAAGGCAGAAAATGTTTCTCCAATAGATGATGTACATGTAAAAATAATTATATCACACCCTCCAAGTGATGTCCATAGATGTGCCCATTTCAGGCTTGAGCAGATCATGAGATACAATTGTGATTGGGATAGGCTCATTTTCATATTCCGCATTATTGCCTAAAATTGCTTCATCATCATCTGCACCTATTTGTCCTCATCCACAGTACATGTCCATGATGAGCTGCATCATGACGTCGCGCTTTCATCTCCCAGCCACTTTCAACATCCTGCTGCCATCTCCACCTCTAGCTTTCGGGTTGAGCGAGTGCTTGCCACAGTACATGCTGATGATGAGCTGCATCATGAGTGCGACAAGATGAGGTCATTGATGGGCTTCAGAAAGCCAATGAGCATGTTCAACAACAGCTGTCCGAACCCAAAATCCTATCTCAGAAAGCCAATGAGCATAGTAAGATGTTGAGCATCAGCTCTCGGAATCCAAAAAGTGTCACATTGAAGAACTTCAGAAAGCATATTAGCATGGTGTACAAAATTTGAGTTGATTCCTAGGAAGTCGAAAAAATCACTTGCCTACAAAAACTGGTTGACGCGGAGGAGGCCGCCGACTACCACCGACAATACATGTCCATGATGAATTGCATCATGACGACGCATTTTCATCTCCCAGCTACTTTCAACATCCTACTGCCACCTGCACGAGAGCAATATCGTTGCTGAGATATGTTCTTTGATCTTTCTGCACGAGAACAAACCAGACCCAATTGTTCATGGAGATCTTATAAATGCGAACAGGAGCGGCTTGACACGGAGGAGGCCGCCGACTACCGCAGTGTCTGGAGCAGGAGCGGCTCGACGCGGAGGAGGTCGCCGACTACCGCCGTGTCTGGAGCAGGAGCGGATCGACGTGGAGGAGGCCGCCGACTACCGTCGTGTTTGGTACCTAGGTTTGTCCGACTACCGCCGAGTTTGGGACCAGAGGCATCTGGTTTACACCGAGACTTTTGAACATTGAGATTTGTTGGGTCGCGGACGCGAATTGCCCTTAAATCTTTTGCGACCGAGATTGTAAAGAAATCCCCTAATTATGTATTCAGTGCCTTAGCAATTTGCAACCGGGATTGCAAAGAAATCCCTCAATTTTGCATTCAGTGCCTTAGCAATGGATGGCATTGAAGCGGAGGAGGCCGCCGACTAGTACCGTGTCTGGGACCTAGGCCAATGAGCATGTTCAACAACAGCTGTCCAAATCCAAAAGACGTCATATTGAGGAACTTCAGAAGGCCAATGAGCATAGTAAGAATGTTGAGCATCAGGTCTCAGAATCCAAAAAGAATCACTGTGTTTTTCTAACTGAACATTTTTTGAAACTTCAAAAAAATGAAAATGTGAACATCTCACTGTGAAGTACTGAACGAATTCCACTTATGGAAGTTCGTCTTGCTCGTGCGCAGATGAAGATTTCTTCTGATCATTCCCCAATTCAGTGTTTCCCTTTTTGCCAGCATCCCAGTCTATGGACTAATACCACCCATCAAATCCTGAAGCTGTGGTTCTAGGTTAGTACAGAGACACCGGGAGCTCATCCCCAACCTCAGTATCTATTCTGCCATTCAGGAGTGGATCCAACAGCAGTAATAATCACCATAGATATCACTACAGCGTGTCGGTGCCTCGTGTACAGCGAGTTGATGCAGCCATAATAATCACCACAGATATCCATGCTGCATGCGGCTCCGATTCTTCTCAGCAA